CTCATTAATGTGATTAAGTATAACAAACCACCGACTAATTCCAATCATTCTAATGTGTGAGTTCTGGTTCAGGTGATAAGCTACCTCCAAGGACTTAGCTTGGGAGGGTTCGGTTTCTGGATTTTGAAGAAGACTATCTTTAGTTAATTGTCTTTATTAATTAGTACATGTAAACATTCAAGCCTAGGGCTTTTCTTGTATTGAGTTAGAACTCATATTTTGTATCCAAGTGTTGGCTTGGAAAGATGTAAGCCTGTAGGGCATTTTATTCGATGTTACATGTAATGCTTCTATTTAGTAATACTCTGATGAATGAATTAATAAATTATTTTCTTTAAATAATGCATGTCAATGATATATATATAATGGGTTTATTTTTGAGGGCGTTACAGAAATAATGTCTCATATACCCCAGACCCATCTAATTACACCGGTCCAAAAAACATCTCTAATCCCTCGAAAAGAGCATGTTTGACCCTCTCAATTCTTGCAATATATTCACACTCAATCTGCTTCTCATATAGAGCGATGTGAGTTGCCAGCAATGAATGTACGACAGTGGTGTAATACTAGATGATCTTCCCTTTGCCCTCATACCATTTAGTTTAGGATTGACCGTTTTCCCAGTGATATCCCTTAAGGCCGAATCATACATGAGCGCAGACAACATATCAAAGTAGCAGAACATCAACCCCTTATCTTATGACATAGTCAAAAGTCACAAAAGGGTACATAAATGAAAGTCATATCAATAATGACACGTAAGACTCACACGGTGAGGAAACAGGGATCCATTATCTCACCTCATTACTCGGTCGCCAAGCACATGTAGTATGAATACATGTTACGGTGGAGTAACTCTTCCAAAAAAAGTGACGTCATACTCGATACACTATACAAATATTAGTCTAGTCACTTTCTAGCTCCTAACCCAAATTCTCTATTTGCTCACCTTCCAGGCGCCAAATGAGATCTCGCATCTGGCTAATCATAACAAACACAACATGGAAAGTGGGTACAAACATCCATGTTTGGTCCTTATCACGACCTTATCTTGGTTGTAACCAAGGAGACATACATAGTGGATAATTTAAGCCTTTCTTGGCTCTAAATAAAAATAAACCACTAGTCTCATCCTTACTCGTTTCTAAGCGCCAAGGGCGATTGCTTGTGTGAGTGAGCCAATCTTACCTGCTGACATCATCACATGCTAATCATTATGACACAAACCATAATAGTGTCAACATCCCATCATCTCATAACAAATAAGTGATCGATTTTTAAAAAAAAACTCGACCACAGCTTGCGCAATTCTAAACTCCAAACATAAGCCTTATCAGCACCTCTTGCGATAAGTATGTACAATGGAATCCACCATGTGCGCCTCACATGAAGTGATTCAAGATCACTACCTCTTGCGCAATAACCTCTCTAAAGATATTTTGGTGACCAATTTGCGTTTATTCTGGATGCGCAAGAGGAAGTCTTCTCATGGTCTACACTTTTCTCAATGGTGCGACTTTTCGGTATCTAGCGAGCCTTATGCCTCAACAATGACTATCCAAATTGCGCATAACTTTAGAACAGTTTCGCATCATAATGGAAAGTCAACCAAATTATAGAAACGGTTAATCCTCAAAGACTTTGTCTTAAACTGCGCCACGTTGATCCACTTTCTAAGAACAGGGGACTAGAGCCTTTGGCATTATCCTAGGCTCTTTATCATCTTGTGGAGCAATCATGAATGTTTCCCTCTCAATCACCCAGTGATGGCATGAAAAATTTTCACATTTGCTACCACGCAACAAAAAATCTAGAGTATTCTTCTCTAATGGAGTAATCCACTAGTAGGCACATCACTTCCACAATCTCTAGGATATTGGAAATTTCTTTCCATTCTCAACTAGGCTACATAAAAGCGCTATGCTTAGAATTTTCTATCTTATAGAGTTCCAAAACTCTATTCACGTTTACTAAGAAAACTTTATGTGACTTAGTTATACTACCACAAAGCTGCTTACCTATATATACATGACCCGGAGGGTTTACATGATAGCATACAATAATGCGCCACATGACCCTATGTGTTTACAAGACAGCATACAATAATGCGCTATAGAACCCTAGGTCTTAACTTCGCAACCTTATGAGAAGTAAGATAAGGATAAGCTACTTAACGGTTACAGATCGTCCATAGATGGCTCTCCGCTAACCCATTACTCAAATGGAGTGTAAAATCTGATATGGAGGGCACTTAGTCAGGGATATAGGCAACAAACTAGTGCAATTCCCAATTGGGAAACATTTTGCGCCATCATCCACCTAACATTAACAATATTTAATTCCTTATCTCTACTACACCATTGTGTTGTTGAGTACTAGGAATAATCAATTTCTAAGCATCCATTTCTCTTCACAGAGTTTTCTAAAATAACTCAAATAGATACTCGCCACCTTGGTCAAAACTAAAAGCACGAAAGTTGTTATCTAATTGATCTCAACCTCATATGTGCAATGTCAAAAATCATCTTAAAACTTTTGACTTATGGGAGATCAAATAGTCTTGACTCAGATGCGTATCGTAATCTATAAATGTGTCAAGATTGAGGCTTAGCTATCATACCCTTACACATATCTAGTCACAAATATTATAGTGGACTAAATGCGCCAAAACGAATGACCTTTTACGACTTTCCTACTTACTTGTACGCAACCATTGTGAACAAAGTTACACATTCATATGAGAGCAGGATGTCACAAGCGAGTGGGCCCGAAAGGGCCTACTCAAATCATCCATGTCATCTTCTCATTAATGTGATTAAGTATAACAAACCACCGACTAATTCCAATCATTCTAATGTGTGAGTTCTCGAAGACAAGTTTAAAAGGTTTAGGCCTAAATAAGTAATGACTCACGACTAATTTATGTTCACTAGATCATAAAAGGATGTCACGGAGATATCAAGTGCGCTTAAGTCGCAAATTTAACTAGTAAGTGCTAATCCCCTGTGGATAATAAAGCACATAAAATTATAATTATAACTAATCAAATTATTCTAATACTTTCCAAAACTAACATTCAAAAGATAAATGAAGAAAGGGTCTTGCCATGAGCCACTGGCCACAAAGCCATCAAACGATCCGGTCCATAAAATCTGAGCCCTTGCGGACCACCCCTATTATTTAATTGTTTATGATGACTAATCTTTTTCACGAACACAGACGAAACAGTAATTATATACAAATAAAAAAAGTAATACAAAATTTTATATACAAATAAAAAAATTAATACAAAATTTTTATGGCTTTGTTTGCCATATAGGGTTTGGGTTAAAATAGTCACAAAAAGATATAATTTACTAAAAATTCAATAAGACAAAACATCACATCCAAAACATCACAATAGTTAAAAAAGTCAAAAATTTATCCAAAATAAGGTTTTTTAGCCTCAGGCTAGAATAACCAAAAAATCAACCCATATTCCAAAACGAAGGCATAATAATGTCATTTAATAGTGACTTTTCATTTTAAAATAAAATATTTATAAAGATAATTTATATTTATAATATTATTGCAACATCCATTTTATAATATATTTTGTATAAATTTTATATATGAATTGAATTTTCAGGTATTGTTTGATTAGCAAGATTAATAGTGAAGCGACTAATAATTTATAAAATTAGTATAGAATTAATTATCTAGTTGAATTAGTTGGATAAATAATTCAATTCTGTTCACATTCATTTTGCAATGGATGTAGAAATATATAATCATAATTATATGTTAATGCTACATTATTAGTTGTACAAATTAAAAAATTCATTCATTTTATTAAAATCGAATATCCATCAAAATCCCATACATTCAAATATGAGTCACATGATTAATAATCTTATCCACCCAATTAAACAGCTCTTACTGTCCAAATTGTGACAATCGCCTCATTTAAAAAGTTAGTTATTTTAATAAGTTAAAATTTTTGTGTTTGAGAATATGATTAAATTTTTTATAATTTAATATGATATTTGTGAGAAAAAAAAATAAAATATGAGTTTGATACAATAATTTGCCCTATTAACTATTTTAACTTATTTTATATTTTTGTGAATTTTAGTATAAAAAAATATTTAAAAAAAAAAATCAAAAACCCAAGTGATATTTAGTTAATTATGATTGTTATTTGAATAATGACCAATGAGGTCTTTGATTATATCTCAAGTGATATTTAGTTATAACTTTGTTCATAATTCATTGTGAGATTAGTTATAATTTAACCTTAAAGAGTTGGCCTAGTGGTTAAGATTTGAGGTTTGGGGGATGTGCTTCTTCTAATGTCTCAAATTTGAAACTTCGCAAGTGTAAATAATTTCTTGTAGCCATGCTTATATAGGACAAAAGCCTTGGTTTTAATCGAGACTCTTTCAAGTAAACAATAGGATTGATCCCCTGAACTAGTCAGATCTCCCGAACTAGTCAGTTCAAAAAAACAATTTAACTTGCATATAATATATTCTTTCTCAGGGGTGTTTTGGTAGGGAAGAAGTCATCTTAAATTATTGATTTAAATGATAATGTAAAAAATGTAAACTTAGTAGAGTGGAGCATTGAACTCTGGATTATTTTTTCATGATGGGGAGAAGGTAAAGTTGGAATGTATTCATTGATTTAAGTGATAATTTAAAAAATGTTAACTTATCAAAGTAGGGCATCGAACTCTGAATAACTTGTCCATGATGGGGAAAAGGTGAAATTAAAATATACTATTGATTTAAATGATAATGTAAAAAATATTAACTTAGCAGAGTGAAGCATTGAACTCTAGATAATTTTTCAATGATGTGGGGAGCACGTGAAGTTAAAATGTTGAAATTAAAGACATACATGTGACATTGATCAAAACTTATGGTTGTCGACTTTTCGACAACTGATAATTGCTCCATATCTACTACAAATTAAAAAAAAAAAAAGCAATATAACACCATTACGGATTAGTGTACCTGGGCGTGGCCAATTCCATAGTTTTCTGTAGCCAACAAAAATAGATAAAATTTATATTAAGTGTCACATAAATTATAATAAAATTAAATAGAATCATAAAAGTTAATTTTCTAGCTATATAACAAAATTGACCAATGAATAAACAATACTAACCCACCACGTCTTATAATTGGAATTCGAATACTTTTCCGTGGAACAAACCTAGCAATGGCTGATCTCACCGGCTACGAAATGTCTCACTGATTTCATCGACAACGTCAGGCCCATTCCAGTCCTCAACTAGTATATATATCCACGAACCCAAACGACAGACCCAACACATGTCACTGCTTTGCACCACTAGCCAATAGCATATCCCTCTTTTTGTTCTCTCTCTAGATTTCTTAACATTCTGTTCTCTTTCTCTCTCTTTCTCTCTCTGTCATGGCAAAATTACCTGCTGAGCAACAACACCCAGTCGAGGCCTTGGGATGGGCAGCCAGAGACACATCTGGTGTCCTCTCTCCTTTCAAATTCTCCAGAAGGTATATTACTTCTTTTTTTTTTTCATTTCATTCGATTAATGTATAATATATGGTTGTGTTTAATCGGCAGTATGTTATTGTATTAATTGGGTTTTCGTGTGGTACAGGGCAACCGGAGAAAAAGACGTAACATTCAATGTATTGTATTGTGGGGTTTGTCATTCTGACCTTCACACAATCAAGAACGAATGGGGCAGCACCAACTATCCTTCTCTCCCTGGGTACCACTTCATGCATCTTTCATTCTCTCTCCAAACATTTTCAAAAAATACAAGAACCAAACCAAATCAATTGGACCATTATCAGTTGGGTTGGTTGGGTTATGTCAATGCATTGCTCTGTTTTTGTGTCTAAAACCAGAAGCTATACAATTTCAACCCAAAACAAGAAGCTATAAAATATGATTTATATTGAGATGCCTTCATTCATATATTTGTATATTCGTTGTAACTAAAAAGGTTTGTTGTTTATATTAGCATTCGTGCACGCATACATATATTTTACTTGTATAAATATCTTGACAATGGAATCTTCATTTTTAATTTGTAATTTTGAAACATGTTACTTTGTATCTAAGTCCATTGAGTCTATTATGCATTTCTTATTTCTCAAAATTAAAAATTGGTTCCAATTTTCAAAAAATTCTACTTTTTTATTTTTCGTATTTAATGTTTTTGACGAATTTTTTTAATATTTTGAACAATTTTTTTTTATTTTTTAATTACACCTAACATGAAAACACTTACTAAAAAGTATAATATTTGTGGAAAAAAATCTTTAAAAAATACACTAAATGCCAAAAAATACAAAAAAAAAAATACACACAAAAACGAAAATTCAGTTCATTTTTCGTATTTTTGTGTATTTATTAAAATTTTAAAATATTTTTTCACAAATATTTTACTATTTAGATACATGTCTAAAAAAGTAAAAAAAAAAATTCTTAAAACTTGAAAAATATTCACTAAAAACGAAAAAACACAAAAAATAAAAAATTCAATTTTCAAACCCAACACACCATATACACTACAAGAAAAAGCAGATTTCGCGACTAAAAATAGATTTTTCGTCGCTGAAAGTAGCAAAATTGGCGACTAAAATTCAATTAGTCGCCAAAAGTCACTTTTGGTGACTAAAACAGTTTAGTAGCCGAATGTAGGGGTTTTAGTGACTAAAAGTCAGTTTAGTCGCCGAATGTAGGGGTTTTAGCGACTAAAAAAATTTTAGTAGCCAAAAGTGAAGGTTTTTTGGCGACTAAAAACATTTAGTAGCCAAAAGTATACGTTTTGGTGACTAAAAAATAGTTTGGTCGCCGATTATACGTGTTTTACCGACAAAAATCAATTTCGTAGCCAAAAGTGAACCTTTTTGGCCACTAAAAAAAATTTAGTAGCTAAAAGTCAAGAATTGCCAACTAAAATGCAGTTTAGTCGCCCAAAGTACAGGTTTTGGCGACTAAAATTCAGTTTAGTCGCCAAAAGTGCTATCCTTAGGCGGGATTCAATTCTTTTAGCGACAAAACAGAAATTAGTAGCCAAAAAAATATAGAATTCGCGACTAAAATTCAGATTTAGTCACCAAAAGTGCTATCCTATTTTTTTTAGTAAATAATTTATTTTTTACATAAAATATATTAAATAAAAATAATTATTTATATATATATATATATAATTTTGTATTAATACTGGTCAATATAATATATAAATAATATATGTTGCATTAATATTCATGTGATGTTGTAGTGGCGTAGTGGGGTGAGAGTGTTGGTAAAGGTTGAGAATGTTGGGAGGTTGGTGGTTCGAAACTTGGGAACAACAGAGGCAATTTTTTTTTCTTTTTTTCTGAAAATGGCTTTTGGCGACTAAAGTCTGTGGTCGCCGAAAGATTGGCTATTGGCGACGAAAAGTTTAGTCGGGAAATGTATAAATAAATAAAAAAATTCACTATTGGCGACTAAAAGTTTAGTCGCTAAATGTATAGTTTCCAAAAATGGAATTAACTATTGGCGACAAATTCTTTAGTCGTTGAAGACCTGTACATTGCCGACTAACAGTTTTTTAGTCGCCAAAGGTATTCACGACCATGTATTCGCGACAAAATCGGCGACTAAAATATTTAGTCGGGGAAAGTGAAAATTCGACATTTGGCGACTAAAAAAGGACTTTTGGCGACTAAAAATTTAGTCGCCAAAGGTGTGTTTTCTTGTAGTGATAGTCTTTTTTTTTTCCCTTGTTCTTTGTGTTTTTTTATGATTAGGCTTGTTTATTGCACTTATTTATTTATTTATGTATTTCTTTTGATTATGTGACAGTGACATTTTTATAATTAAATGTCATTTTAGTGGGCATTCTCTTTTAAAATAACAATTCCAAATGAAATTATGTCATTTAAATAAATAATTTCTATTGGTATATCAGTACTAAATTGTTCTTACATCCCATTAATAGAAATTGGTAGTTAGATGATGAAATTCTAACCACTTAATTAATAAAATCTAACATATGAATGGATATAAAATTGCCAACTCCTTAGTTAGTACGATATGACATGTTTCATTTGAATTGACAAACGCAGGCACGAGATAGTGGGTGTGGTAACAGAGGTAGGTAGCAAGGTGCAGAAATTCAAAGTTGGAGACAAAGTTGGGGTGGGATGTTTGGTTGGGTCTTGTCACACTTGTGACAATTGTGCTTGTAAGATAAATTGATGTATATTATTGATTGATGTATTACAAGATTGTTGTATTGATTGATGTGTTTCTGTATTGTATGTGATAAAGAGAATGAACTCTCTTTTTATAGAGAGAAATCTCAGGCATTGGATACCACAAACCCACTAGCACCGAAAGCTATACAATTAATAAGTATATACTAAAGCTAAAGTTATTCAACTAACAATGATATACTAATTAACAATTCTAAAGCTATTCAACTAACAATTATATATTAACAAATCAATACAACAATCTTGTAATACATCAATCAATAATATACATCAATTTATCTTACATGGTATCAGAGCCATAAGATTTAGGCCTATATTCCTTTCTTTCCGGCGGGCAGCCGGCCGGTAACCATGCCTTCGCTGCCCGCTGGCATTTTTCAACACCTCCACAGAGTATGGCTCAATCCCAAGCTTACTTCCATCAAACACAGAAGTCCCAATTGCCACGGATAGCCCACCACAATCACCCCACCTTCTTCAACCCTTACTGTCCGACCCGGCCTCCTCTCCTTCACTTCTCTCACCCACAACGTCATCTCCCCCTTCTCGAACCCTCAGCTTCAGTTGAATACCTTACCTCATGGGTCGCCTTTTGGTGGCAATCTCCCCCAGTATAATACTGCAGGTCTCTCTGTCAATGGCCGACCACAGAACCAATGGGTCAACCAGACTCGTGTTTTTCCCGGAGATCGTTTCAGCCTCTTTGTGCTTTCATACACGCCACAGATCTCTCTAACAAAACCCTCATCGATCCTCACTTTAGGAGAAGCAAATGAGCAGCACCGTACAGAGAACTCCTAAATCTGGAAGCCAATCGTTGTTCTTCCATGCCTTAGCTTCTCCAATTTCAACCCGCAAAGGAGGCAAATTCACCACTCCAGGTCTCCACGGCGGGACCGCGCACGTGTGCTCCTTCCCCGAAACAACGGAATGACTTCAGACACCCGTTTTGGGCTTTATGAAGGATGAACCCTTGTCTGGTTGCAAGCAACTGCTCCAACAATGCCGTCGCCGGAACTCTTGGCCACCGCCGCAACTACGCTCCGGCACTGCCTGAGCCCCGCCCTCCGCCCTCTCTCTCTCTCATCTATCACACACAGATACACACATGCCTGGAGCCCACTCTCTAGCTCTTGGTTTTCACGGCCATGAAGTAAAAAATACAGGGACAACTCAACACATTCTTCTTTTATTTATTTCCATATTGTCTTCCATATTGCCTGAGCCCCACCCCCTCTAGGAGTGGTTAGAGAGATTGAAAGGTTGGAAGCTTCTTTCCTTTGGGGAGGGAATGGTTTAAAGAGGAAAGTTCATTTGGTGAAGTGGGCTGAAGTATCAAAAAATAGGAATCAAGGTGGGTTGGGGATTAGGAGAATCAAGGATGTCAATGATAGTTTGATTCTTAAATGGTGGTGGAAATTCGGTAGTGAGGTAAATGCCCTTTGGAGAAGAGTGTTGTGCAGCAAGTATAGGATTGAAGAGGCTAATTGGACGCCTCCAGTGCTCTCATCATCTATTCACTCTAGAATCTGGAGCGATGTTCTTGCAACTGCTGGTCGTAATCCACATCTTGTGGAGTTCTTTTTGGGGAAGTATCAGATAAAGGTTGGTAATGGGTGCAGAATCAAGTTTTGGTTTGATAAGTGGGTCGGTGATAGATGTTTTAAAGACAAGTTCCCTAGACTTTTTAGCCTGTCTAATGATAAGGAAGGTACGTTATCCTGTTATTCAGCAAGAAAATCCAGTGAGGAGGAGTGGAATTTATCTTTCCGAAGGGATTTATACGATTGGGAGAAGAAGGAGGTTGACAGCATGGCTGCAATTTTGGGGGTGGCTCCATCTTTGAAGGTTGATGTGGAAGATTATCCTATTTGGAATGGTTCTTTTGGTGGTAGTTTCAAGGTTTCTGATCTTTATCAATTCAGTGATGATAGTATGGGCCCTCAACTCAAAATTTGTAAGTTTGTGTGGAATAATGGTATTCCCCCCAAAGTCCAATTTTTCGGATGGTTGGCTTGGAGGAATAGAGTTAAAACCGGGGATTATTTACAACATATTGGTGTCCTTAATAGTAATGCATCTATCTTATGTGCCTTTTGCAAAAATGAAAATGAATCTGCTTCTCATGTTCTATTACACTGTCCATTTACTTGGCAAGTTTGGTCTAACCTAATGCTATGGTGGGGGTGTATTTGGGTGGTGCCAAGGACAATTAATTGTTTATTTCAATGGTGGATAGGTTGGGATTATAAGAAAGTGGTTAGGAGATTGTGGAGAGCCTTACCACCTATTGTTCTTTGGTCCATTTGGAAGTTTAGAAATGATTGTATGTTTAATGGAGCGCAACTATGTGGGCCTGAGTTATGTGAGACAATTAAGTTCAGATTCGCTATGTGGGTTAAAGCATCCTCTAAGGGATTCATGTACTCTACCATGGAATTAATTAATAATTTGGATCAAATTAAGCAATGCAGCTGAGGTGGATCCAGTTTGGAATTTGCTGTGTGGAGTCAGTTTTGGATGCAGGTTAATGGTCTGCGGTCTGTGTTCTGCCCCTTCTATTATATGCTGCTTTGCTTGTGAGAGCATCTGCAGGGGATGGCTATTATGCTGGTATAGGAATGGATTTCGGCGGCTGCTGTGGATTACTGAAGATTAAGCTTAATATTAAGCTTATTTTGCTGGACTGCCTTACGCAGTGGGTATGCACCAGCAGAGTGGTTTTATGTGGCTGCTGCAGAGTGGATGAAAAGTAATTAGTGCAGTGGGATGATAGGAGTTATGCTGTTATGGGCTGTTGGTGGCTGCTAATTTCAAATCTTGTTTAGTGGCTGCTATGGGCTGTTTGTGGCTTGGTATATGCATTGTTAATCTGTGATTTTTGTTCAGTTGGTTCTGCTTCGGTTGAAGTTCTGGTAGCAGTGTCTTCGATTTATCAGTGGCTGCTTCGGGTGCGCTGTTGTAGTGGTATTTTGCAGTATGTTCGTAGCAGGTTTTTTGTTTCTGCTCTTAGCAGAATTTGGATTGCTGCTGTATTTTTTATTTTTTTTATTTTTTTTATTTTTTTTTTTCGCTTTCCCCTTTGTTGGTTTTTCACCAACTTGGAGGTTTGAGTTTCCTCTAGCTCCTTCCTCCTCTTTATTGATGTTTCCCATTGTACCCTGTACGTGCTTCATCAATAAAGTTTTCTTTGCCGATCAAAAAAAAAAACATCAATAACTCCTACTTATAGCTATCTATTTTAGAAGAAACTGTGCATTTGCACTATTTTGTTGCTTTGCTGTGACTAGGACAGGAGCATTAATAATTAATAGTGGGAGCAAGGAAATTTATTATTAGTATTTTAAAGTATTATTTCTCTTGTACATCTGTATGCGAAGAGTTTCAATTTCTTTGTATGAGTTTCTACATACAGATCTCATGTATATCTTTCTATTCCCCTTGGATCGACAAAACCTTGGCTTAGGTGTTGATAGGATAGGAAATTTGTGGCCAACAGATATTTATCACAAAAAAAAAAAAAAAATTGTGGCCAACAGATCTAATCATCTAAATGGTTAAGAATTTCACCGTGCATATTTGTAAGGCCTTATGCGCATATGTATTTATGCTTGCACGTATATCTATCCATGAATTTGATCTAATAATTTGTAATATCATAGGATTTTTATAAAATTTATTGAAATTATTAGGGTAAGAATTGAATGGACTTTGAATCCCTATAACTATGAATGAAAGAATATATTGACAGTTTACATAGGATTCCAATATAGAAACCTATTGTCATGAATGGCGTCATTTAAGGAAATGAAGCCATCTCAATTAATTTTAAAAAGTTGGCCTTTTGTCATTTCAGAGAAACGTAAAGTTGATCACTTGCTATGAAATATGGTGAAGTCCCCTAGTTTCCACAATGGCTCCATTTAAGGAATGGGTTTGCATTTAGCCATAGAAAGTAAAATGAGACCTATCAAATATGAAGGGATATCTCCCGATGTGTTGAAAGATTTACTATGGTAAATCAGGTGCTAAGAAGCATGAATTTGGAGAGGAAACATAATACAACATGATACGGACACGCAAGCATGACAATTTAAAAAAAAATGATATACAACACTGTTGGGATACTACAACAAATAAATAAATATTTTTATATATATACATCAAAATAATAATTTTTTAGTTTTTTGTTGAAAATAATAAATATTTCATTCTATTTCCAAAATAATAAGAAATCATTTTTTATATTTTATATATTGGAAAAGAAGTGCAAACAAAAATTCCTAACGTATTTTTTAAAAATATCTTCACAAACAAATTTGGAGTTATGGCTTTTTCCTAAAATTAAAAAAACCAAGGGAAGAGAGATTAATAGGTATAAATCTACTTTTTTTAGATTGTGATGTGTTTTATGAATATCTAAGCGATGGACGCTTATATCTTTTAAGCGTTCTCCTGTAAAGTTTTCGTTTATAATATATAGGAATCATAACTATTGTTGTTATTTTTAGTTTGTACTTTCAAGAAATTAGACAACCTGAAATGATCTGGAGTCTGTGAGGCTTATTCGACCCACTGATTTTTGAAAGGCTTATTTAATGTCAATTCTGTCCCTAAACTTCTAGAAAAGCCAAGATTTTTGAGACTAACAAAATACCCTTATCCGGAACTGCTATTAGATCAAAATGAAATTTAGGCCTCGTTTGGAAACAGGCTATTTTAGTAACTTTTTGGCTTTTTGGCTAAAATATAAGGTAAAAAAAATAGTATGTTTGGGGTGACTTTTTGGCTTTTTACGAAAAGATGTGCAAAAAGTAGAGAGAAAAGGGAATCTTTGACTTTTTGGTATAGGGTATAGACTTTTTGGCTTTTTTAGTAACTTTTTGACTAAAATGTTAACTTGTCAAACGAGGCCTTAGATTAGGTTTTTAAAATATCAAAACATTGTCAATTATTAGAGATTACAGATTCATCAAGTATCATTTATTTGACAGTATAATCATTTTCAATGGTTAGAAGCATTATTACTAGAACTTTTCATGCATTTAATGAACAATGTGAACTTTATTATTAGTATATTTATTTTTATGGGCATTGACTTGGACCAAAAATGACTTTATGCACTAATTTGTGTTGAAGGACTGGAGATGCAATGGAAAAGGTTATGTGGCCTTCCGCAATTATATTAACAGGCTGAGGAACTGGGAAAGTTTGCATATACCTAGCCACCCAAGCACTCCTGGACAAAGGTTGCTGAAATTTCACTAGATGTTTACAAGTACAGTGAAATGATTATCATAGTGATTACTGAAATTTGCATCTTCAAAGCGAGAATTTTAATATTTGTGCATGCATGCATGCATGTTTGTTCTTTTTTCTTTTTTATTTTATTTTATTTTATTATTTTTACAATGAATGAAATTTATAATCACTGTAGATTCAGATTGAGTTGCAGCACTTAAGTGATGACAATCTTTGAACAAACGTAACATAAACAACCTAAACTTCAGACTTATAATCTTGAATACATTAATTTGTGCCGCAATTTAATGTATAATGTGTCAAAGGTCATATTTTTGTTTATTCGAACTGCCACAATTGAGAATCTTTATCTACTGATTTGAGTCAAAGGAAGGAGATAGTAAAACTATTCTTCAAAAATAAGAGATTTTTTTTTAAAGATGATCACGGATGCATTACATACTGTCATACTTATAACAGGCCCTTTTTCATTTATTGTTCTTATCGTTTTACCAAGTTTATAAGTACTCAAAACATCATTCTCTTTTCCCATGTGTTCATAAACCGTGATGAAGTTTTATGACTGTGCATCTTTCTGATATGATTATTATTTAAATTCATGTTTCCATACAATTCTGACATCAGGGTAATTTACTGGTTGATGCATCAGTGGGCGATGGATATCATCTCCAGGTCCACTCTCTCTTTCTTTTGAGATGGACAGCTGGAGTCCTATCAGGGTATTCCTCATTTCTATAATTTTTCTCAAAATTTACTTTTTTAGGTTAAATTGCAAGACATATTGCCTCTTTTGTTTTCTCTCTCTGCTGTATATTTATTCAACAAAGTTTCTCCATGTGGGAGAAAACAAACCTACAATCTATTATTTAAGAATGTTTATGCATTGACTGCAGAGAAAAGTTTTGCAAATATGGTTGCTTTTTACTGTCTTAAATTCAACTCCTCCCTCTTCTCTTCTTGTTGTTGGTGTTTCCTTGTGATTTTGTGAGGTGTATTTTTTTGTCTTGATAAGACAAATCATGAACTTGATCGTCGTATGCCACTGTCTGTGTGTGTGTGTGTGTGAATTGAGGATCTGCATCAGCTACAATGATTGGATTGCATTATGTTATAATCTGGGTTTTTATGATGCTTATTGTACATTTATACTCTAGAAATCATTTGTAGTGATTAAATCTTAATTGCTAACTGTTATGCTAATTTGAGGTGGTTGGGAGTTAGGACATCAGTTGCTAATTATGATGACGTACTCTATATTCGGTTTAAATAGTTTTCTTCTGGTGCCAAAGTATCTAGACATGATTAATGGAGTACCCTTTTTCAACACGTGGCTCTTGCTCCTGTGTCATGTGTCCTGTTATCATGGTATGTGTCTGAGATTCTGATCAAACTTTGCTGTAGTCTTCATGATCTGTAAATGGTGGGAATTCCATAATGTTAACAATCAAATATTGAAATCGTTTTCAACCAAGGGATTTACCAAAACAAAAAGGTTGCAATCTGCCAAGTACAAACTGTTTTTATTAAACCTACTTGCCTGCATGTGCAAATGTTTTTCTTTTTCTTTTTAAAAGAACTCAGACCTTAGTTTTGAGAAGAAGGTCTAGGGTCAGTTGGGATGAGGCTTTTCCAAGTCGAAACAACAGTTGCATATCCATAAAACACAACAGCTCAAGACAGTTTTGTTTTAATTTTGTTTCCATGTAAAATTAATATGTCACATGTTCACTTTCGTCACAGGACCTACGAAGTGGCAGTCAAGCTTTGAGTCATAGTCCAAAGTTTCAGCTCAAAAGCCTCAAATGCAAGTGATGGTGATCACCCACGTAGAAAAGCTGAACCTGGATATTCCTTTGTGGGGATGCATTGCATCTTTGACCAATGCAAGGCCATGGGTAACTTTCTAGATTGTTTTCATGTCCATTTTCCATCATTTTTCATATAGTAGCATGTTTCTTTGTCACATCACAGTGATTAACCTTGTAGTTTTGTTTTCAGTTACGGTTGTGAAGTTTGGGCAAATGAGTTCTGATCTACTTGCATATGGGGCATCAGATGGTACCTTGACTGTATGCACTGTCTCTGATCCACCTGCAGTTCTCAACCAGTTAATAGGGCATTCAAAGATGTCACAGGCTGGATTAACCGGTATTGATTCTGTAGGCTTTTCTTAATTCTTATGCTGATGTTTGCTGTATCTGTAGTTTGCTCTTAGCCAAGTTTCTGAAATATGTAACGCCCTCAAATATATAACATTAAACCCATCAAATAAGGCAAGCATTTGCATATAAACTAACCACATTCTTTTATTCATTAGAGCTCCATTACATAAGTATTACATGTTAACATCATAACAAAATGCCCTACAGGCTTACAGCTTTCCAAGTTAACACTTGGTTACAACAAAAGAGTACTAACTCGTTTACACATAAAGCCCTTGGCTTGAAGTTACATGTAATACATCAAAAGTTAAACAACAAAACATGTCCGCCTCTAGCATCCCAGGCTATGTCCTTGGAGGTGGCATGCTTCCTGCACCTGAAAATGATATTCCCATATAGGGTGAGCCACAGCCCAGTAGAAATACACTAAACCAACCATGAACAATGACTAAAATATTAGCAATTGATAGATGGTCAACACTGATACAATCACATAAATTACATATTTATGTCAACGACTTACAAGTCCCAATTACTTTTCATTTTCCCCTTTTCAACAGATAAGCATGCTAGCTCTATCACCATTTCCACAGATATGTATAAAAACTATAACTCACATTCAGATAAGCATAAAAGCTATACCCACATTCTCAACAGATATGTATATCAACAATATCCACAGACAGGACCTGATCCCGCCTATCCAAGACCCGAACCGGTCTCTCCTCATTAAATACATAAAAATACAAAAAATATACTGAATTCTTGTATTTTTTTTTTTTTGTATTTTTGGTATTTAGTGAATTTTTAAAAGATTTTTTTTACTTTTTTTTTACTTTTTAGGTGTATTTATGTTAAGTGTGTCTAAAAAGTAAAAAAATTGCTTAAAATATTAAAAAAATTCAATAAAAACAAAAAAACACGGAAAATAAAAATGTAGAATTTTCTGAAAAGTGTTTTCTGAAAAATGAAAACAAGCAATTTTTTTTAAAAATTCAATAGGTATTAATTTTTCTTCATTTTTAATAATTAACTTCCCAAAAATATATGTTTGGAAATTAAGTCAAAATCTTAAATTTGAAAATTTAAAATTAATGTGTTATTATTAAATCTTTCTTTATATAACAATGATTCAATTATTATTATTTTTAATTGTAGCCCTCTAGAACATTTAAAATGAAAAATAAATAAATTTTAAATTTGGTATCTAGAATTATGTTTTTTCAAAAATATAAGGTAAGTTACACTTTGCCCCCTTTATGTTTGGTCACTCTTCCATTTTGGCTCTTAAAATTTGTTTTTTTTTTTTTCACTTTAGCTCTTCATGTTTCAAAATTTTCTCAATTTACTCTTAAAGTCAAACAGAAAATGACACATTGACAATTACATGACATAAAAATATTTTATTATATGCAACTCACATCTCTAACATAAACTTAAATTCTAATATAATAATATATATTTTTTATGTTATGTGACAGTTATTATGGGTTTTTTTGTCTAATTTTGAACAGAAATGAGTTTTAAGAGTAAACTGAGAAAAACTTGAAAAATATAAACGGCCAAAGTGAGAAAAAATAAAATTTAAGGACCAAAGTAGAAAAGTGGTTAAACATAAAAGGGACAAAGTGTAATTTACCCAAAATATAAATATTTATTTGTAAATACATTATTAAAATTGCCCTAAAATTTTAATGAACTAAAGATTAAATTACAAATACATTCCCTGAGGTATACTTAAAATATGGATTGTGTTTTATAATTTAGAAAATTACAAATACCCCTTCTAAGAATTTTTTATTTAACAGAATTAACTAGAAAAATGAAATTCCTAACTGCAATCCTATATAATATAAAATTACCTGAACTATTAATTGAAATATATTTATGATATCATTAAAAATTGTTAATTGACTTGATGATTTATTGATAAAATGGTCCACTTGTTATAAAATTAGAAATTTCAAGGGATAGAATGTAATTTTTAAAATCACAAGGGATAATTTGTATTTTAAATAAATCTAAAGAGATGTATTTATAATTTATCTTTTTTAAAAAATATTATAATTGTCCCAAATAAATATGTCAATTTTTTAAGATGCCTCTTCGAAAATATATATGCTAACTTTTTTTTTCAATACGATAATGTGGAATAGGTGTAAATGCGGCCTCATTTGAGCTTCTTAAGCATGCTTGAAAGTATGAAAGAATCAACCCCACACCAATAACTCTGGAATTTTTGAATAATTTCTACAATTTAGCCCAAGAAATAGCAGCTGTGATAGGAATAGTGGTCGAAGTTCTTATGCCCACCGAATAATGGAATTGGGGTGGCAGTTGTCCGAGTTGTTGTGCTGCTTATGGGGTTTGTTTTGAAGTTTATTTTGATATTTTAATTGTAGAATATATTTATAAAAAATTTAATTGATCGATCTCATATTCTTATTATTGAATTTTATTTGTATTTATAAAAGTAATAGTAAATGTGATTTAAAAAATAAAACTGAATACAAATATAATTTGATGAATCGATTATCGATATTTAATCAATTTAGTTATTACAATTATATTCTACGCCATATACCTTAAAAAGTGAACAATTTAAATTATAAAAATAATTTCGAAATCAGTGACTATGCAGCAGCGGGTAATTATTCAGTAATCTCGGAATATGGATACGTAGTATTCCATAGTATTGTGATTGGTGGAGAAAGTGGGTAGGTGAAGTATTGTGTTAAGTGATTGAAAAATATGAAAGAATATATTAAGCCATGGTTTGGCTAACATTTTGGAGCTAAACAATCACAAAAAGACAAAATAGGCTATGTAAGTCAATAAGATAAAATACTACTTTTTTCCATAATCATTACGCTTTTTTTCTCACAAAAAAAAAATAATCCCAAAACAAAACCAAACGAGGCTAGGCATAGTTTGGGAAGTTGGTTTTGGTGGGTTAGGGGCTAAAATAGCCACAAAAAACAAAATAGGCTATTTTAGCCACAAAAAACAAAACATCAAATCCAACCCATAATCATTACACTCCTCTCTCGCAAAAAAAGTCAAAAAACTAAAAAGCCCTTCCCAAACCAGGCTTTTTAGCCCCAGGCTAAAATAGCCAAAAAGTCAAAAAGCCAACCCACTTCCCAAACGGAGGCTAAAAATGTCACGCTAAAAAAGTCTCAAGATAAAAAAAAAATTGGCTAAAAAAGCCAATATCAAACGAACCATAAATAACGATTGATTAGAAAATAAAGACACATTCTATTGGGAATATTGAATAATGAAAAAAAATTGGAAGCTCTAAATTAAGGGAGTATTTGTTTGGATTTTTTTGAGCCAACTTATAATTTTTAGCTTTGGAAAAGTTATTTTGGACTGTTTGGTTAAACTTATTTCAAACAATTTCTGATTCTAACAACTTATTTTAACTCAAGAAATTGATTCTGAGAAACCGCTCACCCCTTACTTCTGATTATCAGCTTTTGCTGTGGACATCTTAATTTATTCTCTTAGATTTTTTTTTTAAAAAAAAAAAAAAATAGAAAAAGACTCAAATGAATTATAGATTATTATTATTATTATTTATGAAAAATGTAGATAAGTAGTGAATAATAAAAAATAAAAGTTAATTGAAAAATCTACTTCACAGCTTATTTAACAAACACTACTCAACAACTTAAATCTATAATCTAATAGTTACAGCAAACAGATTAACAGTCTTTGATTAAAATCATAATCTATAATCTGTTAAGTTATAATTTATAATTAAGTAATAATCAAACTAAAGAAATCGTACTGTGAGATGGCAACCGGTGGTGTGAAGGAAGTAGGAGGATGGCAACCAGTGGTGCATGGGAGAAGGAAGCAGGTATGGAGGTGTGAAGAGGTTGACGGAAAGGACAATGCTATTTACACAGTTTTTGTTGATAACATTCCATGGTCCATGACTCCAAAGGGTCTTTACTCTCTGTTTGGAAAGTTTGGGGTTATAAGTGATGTGTTCATTCCAAACAAGATAAGGAAAGTTACAAAGACAAGATTTGGCTTTGTCAGATACGATTGTCGTGTTGCAGTCACTACAAGAAAAAGCACATTTGGCGACTAAATTTTTAGTCGCCAAAAGTCCGTTTTTAGTCACCAAAAGTCGACTTTTTACTTTCCCCGACTAATTTTTTTAGTCACTGGTTTTGTCACGTATAGATGGTCGGCAGAGGTATTGGCGACTGAAACTTTTTCGCGACCAACATTTTAGTCGCCAATAGTGATTTACACTTTTCAAAATCATACATTTAGCGACTAATCCTTTAGTCGCCAATACTCACTGAATCGCCAACTAATCCATTTAGTCGCCAAAATAAAGACTTTTGGCGACTAATAGTTTTAGTCGCCAAAGGTGCTTCCGTGAAAAAAAAAATTACCAACTTCTTTGCTTTTTCTGAGATTCGAACCACGGACCTTCTACTTTATAGACCTTTACCAACACACTCCTTCCACTATGCCACCACAAGATCACATGAATATATATGCAATATATATTATTTATATAGTATATTGACCCGTATTAATTTAAAACTATATATATAAATATAATTATTTTTATTCAATATTAATTTATGTAAAAAATAAATTAATTATTAAAAAAAAAGGGAGCCACTTTTGGCGACTAAAGTTTTTTTTAGTCGCCAAAAACCTTAGTTTTGGCTACTACCAATAATTTAGTCGCTAAAAAAATTAATTTCCGTCCAAAAATAACCACTTTCGGCAACTAAACTGATTTTTAGTCGCCAAAACCGCCACTTTTGCCGACAAAACTCAATTTTAGTCGCCAATTGTCCACTTTTAGCCATTAAAAATTTTTTTGTAGCCAAAAACCTTTACATTTGGCTACAACATTTTTTTTTGTCGGTAAAACACCTACAATCGGCGACCAAACCATTTTTTAGTCGCTAGAGTCTATACTTTTGGCTACTAATC